CCAACGTACTACTCGTTATAATTATATCATCTAGATAGATTAAAGTCGATTTTCCTAGGACAGGCTTTAGAACAATGTCCATAGCTCTCTGGAATGTTGATGGGGCCCCACACAACCCAAAGGGCATGCGTAAAAATGCATAAGTGCCCGATTTTGTTATAAACGCGGTTTTATGTATGTCTTCGGGTCTCATAGCTATTTGATAGTAGCCAGACGTTAAGTCCAAAGTAGTCATGTATCTTGTAGATTTAATCTTTCTAATAATTTCCTCTATAACCGGCAAAGGGTAAACTGGGAATTTAGTAATACTATTAAGTTTTCTGTAATCGATAGCAAACCTCCAAGCCCTTTTATCCGAAGGAGGAAACTCGTTCTTTTTCCTACATAGTACGACTGGACTCGCGTACTCACTATTTATGGGCGTTATTATTTTGTTCTTTAACATTTCCTGAATATGTTCTTCGATGATTTGGTCTTTTTGTTTTATCATAGCGATAAGGTTTAGTCCTACAGGGTTTGTCGGCAGTTAACTGTAATCTCATTTGACATTTACTACCAGGCCGTTCTGAAAACAAGTTTGAAAAAGTACTCACCACTTGCTGGATGGCTTGACTTTCATGGTCATTCAAATGGCTAAGGTCAACTTGCGGTTGTTCCACTGGTTCCACCACCCTCCGGTCCATCACCAGCACAATAGAACTTTCCTGAAAATTCAGTTTGGCCCTCGCGGCCCTTAAAAACTCCATACCTAAAATAAGGATTTTGCAAGTTTTTTACTACAAAAATTAATACTTTAAGGCTTTCGTTTTGAACCTGTATTTTTAAATGATATTTCCCGATACAGTGACAGTTTTTTCCTTGCGCTGCTATGATTTCTGTTTTTATTTTTAAATAATCGTAAAACCTATTAAAATTCTTCTTGAAAAAATATCACTCATAAAATTACCTTCTGCTCCTGTATCGATGAGGGCTTCTACTGGTACATCGCCAACCAGGACTTGTATAATTGGTAACTGTGAGTTTTTTACGATGACCGTATTTAAGTGTCTTTTTGAGGGTTTTTTTTAAAACTTCCGGGGTCTGGACCCTCGCTTTCACAGGCCCCTCTACTCGTTTAAAGCTTTCCTTTCAACTTCTGCCTTCTGGGTACGCGGACGGTTGTTTTCAAATTTCCTTTTTGGGCCTTGACCTTCGAGCTTCGATGAGTTAGCTTGATAGCTCTTTCCCCCATAAGAGCGGTTTGCATTTCTGGTCTTGCTCATTTGAAGATTGCCTTCGGATACTTTGAGAATACGATGCCCCTCTAGCTTTTTCCGCTATTCTGCGATTTTGGAAACTTTTGACCGCCAATTCGAAGAGCTCCTGCAATGTGCTTGGGTTTCTAATTTCGAAGTAGTCTTGAACAGCAGGTAACAATCTTGGTAAGATTATTTCAATAATCTCCGCGTCGGGTTTTCTTCCCATACAGCATATCCGTCAGCTTAATTTTTCGCAGAATAAAGTCCGTCAACTCTTCTATATTCCCGTTGATAAAAACTATATAGTTCGGCTTCTAGCCTTGCTCGATCTTTCACTATGGGGAAGGCCTTTAATAACGATTTTTTGAAATTTTCAAATGTATATGTCTGGCCTCCGAATTCCCCTAATAAAAATTTGCCTATATTCTTCCACCATAGCGCGGCCTGTCCTCTTAGTGCAGATGTGGCGATGGCAACTTTTTGTCTTTCAGGCACAGGGTAGAGCTGGAAAGTGATTTTCTAGGCCTTCTAGAAATATCGCCACCGAATTTTTTCCGTCGAAATTGACGTTTGGCTTGATTGACGCTCAAATCGTCTGGACCAGGTATCCAAATCCTTCCAATTGCTTGCCATTTTTCTTGTTGTTGTCCAGCGGCTTCCATCCAAGTTTTCGGCCATTTCAGTTCGACAAGTGTTCGGGTTCGGGCGCCAATGTAATGTTGCGCGCCTCCAACCTGCACGCAACCAAGTGGTGACTGCTGAAACTGGAAATAGACCACAGAGTCTTGAGAAGGGTTTAAAGTCCCTTTTTATTCAACTTTAAGAATTACAATGCGTGCTCTTGACGCTCACAAACTACGCCGACCCGGCGGTAAAATAAAAATAAGAAACTGAAAAGAAATAATAACAATGACTAACTACGAGGCTCTCTAAACGTAACTAACCTCACCGCGTTCTAAAATACCGCTGATAATTCAGCAAACTTCTGAATATTACGTTGAAAGATTCAACTACTTCCCGCAAGCACAAGGCCAGGCCGAAACGCGTGGTTCTTCAATTTCTAACTATTTCACCTCCGCGTTCGTGAAGTAAGAAAGCACACCTTCGAACTCGTTTCCCTTCTATTTAACTCAATACTTCCGCTGATAATTTGAATCCTTGCGCGTTCTACTAAAATTTACATACTCTGGCATTGGCAATTCCAGGGGAAAGTAAGGCTTGACAGGAAAGATAGTTTAAACTTAAAATAAATGTTAGTTAAAATAAATATAAACCCTACATAATGATGATTGGATCGTTCTGACATTATTTAATTAGAATTTAAGGATATAAGAAAATACACTACGCAAAAATACATTTTGATAAAATGAGTTGATTTTTTTATGTTTTAAACTTCAATTCATTTAATGAACATCGTATCCTTGTTGTTAATTGAATCCAGAATGTTGGGTGTCGTTTATATAATTTTTCTTACTTGTCCACAGAATCTGCTGACTTATCCAGCCATTAAGTAGCTGCAGATCATTTCTACATAAACATTGAACTTCCATTAATTCGGTCTCTAGAGGGTTGTATGTTTATATCATAATTTGACTTTTATAAAAATGATTATTTTAAAACTTATGTTTCTATAAAAATATACTGTGCTTTAAAAATATGGATGATAGTATCAGCCGCTCTTTCAGCCACTTCATAAGCAACAGCTTGTTTAGAAATAAATTATGCAGTTAATGTCATAAAATATTTTGATAAAATTCAAATAAACATCAAACGAAAGTTTTCAGTTTTAGACAATTCGATTTAAACGAAGTTAAAGTAAAGAAGCAGACGATAAAACGCCGAAGAAAAAAATTTACTCTTATAAATATTTTTTTTTAAAAAAGAAGAAAGAGAGAAATTTAAAAAAATAGTTAAAATTTGAATATCATCCATGATTTAAAAAAATAGCTTTTCATATAGTGTTAATAAATATTTATTACGCATGATTGAGGGAAAAAATTTCATATATTTAATTCTCCGTAAAATGTTATTTGAAATTTAAGGTTAAAAATAGCTGTGGCAATTTACTGTAACAAAAATCCATAAACACATTTGGCGTTATTTTCGCTAAAAAAAAGATGCCAAATTTCAAAACGCGAAAATATGTAAATTCGTGTATATCTTTGAAAATTTTGAATAAAAAAGTCTAATTTTTTGCAGGTATGCTTTGAAATACACCTACTTTAAGATGATGCTAAAAATTTTATAGGTTATAATTCAAAATTGTTTTCGAAAAATTATAAAATTATTTTTTAAAAATACAAATTTAAAAATTAAAACACAAAAAATGGGTAATTTTATTTGGAATGAACCTAAATTTCGAAATAAGAAAGTAAAAATAAAAAAAAAAGTTTAAGAAAGAAAGAGATATTAACAAATATTTTCCAAATTCAATTAACATTGAGGAGCTAAAATTTTAAAAACTACTCATACGATTTTTACAAAACTCGGCATTCAGTCAAATTTGAGTCGTAGAATCGAAATATGGAAAAAATTTGGTATATTATTTCAAAAAAAGTCCAATTTTGTGTCAAAATACCTATGTTATAATAGTGCTATATATAAATCTAATATATATCCTAAGTCACGCTTTCGAGACATGAAAAACGCAGTTTGAATTTTGTCAATCAGCCCAGTAGAACGGGAGACATAGCACTGCCCCCCCTTTTTTTTTAGCAGTGTACCTCTACGTAGCCTCCGTCACTAATATTTGTACTGTAATATAAAGATTACTAGACCATAAAAATACCTAAAAATAAAAATAAAGTTGTAAAAATGAAGTGCAGTAAGATATCCCTCATATAAAAGAAAATATAACACACAATAACTATTATTTTGAATTGCAGTCAGACAATAACAAAGTCACGATTAAACATCATCTGGTGTCATAGATTCATTTCGTAGCAATTCACTAGACATCATAGCTATTAAATGAATCGATTCTGAATATATAGTTTCAAAGTGGCTTAATAAGAGAGCCTCTGTTTTGCTGTTGAATGTAAAAAAAAAAAGTCGTTTTAATTAAAAAATTATTGATAAAATTAGAATAGTGTTTCGTAAGCTTTCAAGTTATACAAAATAAATGTTATTAAGCTTAAAATTTACCTCATATTCAAAAGCCAACTGATCTATTGGTATTTTATATTTACGGGCATAATTTTGCATCGCACCAGTTAGAAAAGCTTGTGTAAAATAGAAGCCTGACAACCAAAATACAGGTGGCTTGCCTTCATCATACCATTTCTGTAAAATAAAATGTTTTCAAATATGAATACATATGTACCTATATGACAATAAAATTTATAAGAGACTTAATTCTCAAATGCTAATGATTTACCAAATTTACTTATTTTAATCAAAAAAAAAATAATATTCAAGGTAAGGCTTTGAAACTGATTGACATTTGTGCGAATTAATTAAATAATTATTATATAAAAATATTTTTAAATATAATGCAGATGAAAGTTATGATTTATTGTTGTTATTGAAATCATTTAACTGAAAAGTTTATTTGAAATTAATAAATAAGTTTATTAAGTATAAATATAATCAAATAAGTTTATTTGAAATTAAAAACATACACTATATTTATAGTATCACACTGTAATTTGATGTTTGTTTAAAAACATAATTTAAAACTATTTAAAATTAACAACAAAAATCTTTCTCCTGAAATGACTGTACTTTTCATTCTGGAAGTCTCCTATTCATTTAGGCGGATAGCCTTCGTATGTTTTGCTATATTTAATTAACACACAAAATGGAGCTTCCATTCAAATAAGAAGAGAAGCATTTTATTTCAAGCAGTCTCATGAATCCTCTAAAATCGAGATGATAGACTAAATCTACAATCCCTACTTTTATAAACTTATAAACCTTTGCATCAAGAACAAACAGATTTTGCTAAATTTTCTTGAAATAAATAAAATTTCTTCTTGAACAAAATATTTCAGGTTCATGGCCTGCCAAAATAATAACATAAATACAATTTTTCAATAAGTTTCATGCATAAGGATCAAAGCAATAAAAAATTAAATAAGAAATCTGAAAAAGAAACAGACTTTAATTCCATAAAAATATTAAAATTTAAAGCATCTAGTAATTCTATATTGTATTCAGTTGTGACCAACTGGTGGTTCTTATACTGCATGCGGTCCCAGAAGCTATTTTCTATGCCTTATGGTTAAAATTTTCAAAATTTATAGTAATGTGTTAGTGCTGCTTATATTATAAGAAATTCAACAACAGCATTCCATAGCTTTGGAGCGACTATAACAAATACGACATGAAATTAATTATAACATTGATATAAACTGCTGGCCATCCAAAATCCAACAACATGAAGCAAGCATCCAAACAGCATGAAACTTGTATCGTGTGTATACAGCAATGGAATATGCAAATGATTACAAATTTTTTTTTTTTTTTTTTTTGTTTGTGTGTGTGTGTGTGTGTGTGTGTGTGTGCAGCTTTAGTATGCCTCGTAGAAAAACAAGAATATTATTCGAGCGCGTTTCTGAGTTCGATCTAGGCATAATTATCGTATACAGAGATTGCAGGTTACTCTTCCAAAAAACAAATCATCGTGTTGGACGTAGCCACGCAACAGTCACGCGAATATGGAATCACTGGATGCAAGAAGGAACGACAGACGGGCAGAAGCAATTGCAACTACACCGTTGTATCACTCTACGAAAAGACAGGCATACTGAGCATGGCACTGGTGGAGGCACTGCCACAGCCGCAATCTATCACAACGAATGCAGTCTGCAACACAGCATTCGGTTCTGCAAGAGCAATTCGACGTCGTTAACAGTTCATTGTTAACAGTTCATTGTTAACAGTCGTAAACGTCCATTGTTTCTCTTACAATCACAGACGTTTGCATTTGCAATGGTGCACCGAACGGCGGAGATAGACAACCGAATGACATGATATTGTGTTTTCGGACGAATCACGCTTTTGCCTGCAGTTCCGGTTGGATTAGATTTTGGAGACACAGCGGAGAGAGGCTGCTTGATTGTTGTGTTATGTACTGTCATACTGGTCCTGTATCCAGTGTTATGGTGTGCCGTGGTATTAGGTTCCACTCCCGCAGCCCCTTGTACGCATTATCGGTGCACTTACCAGCCAGCGCTATATCTCTGAGGTTTTGCAGGCTGTTCGCCTTCCTTACCTTCAGGGTTTGCTTGCGGTCTCGTTTCAGCAGGATAGTGCGTGACCATACGTTTCACGCAACATATAAGCTTTCTTCGTAGCCCACCATATTGCATTGTTATCTTCGACGGCCCGTTCTCCAGATCCATCGCCCATCGAACATGTTGGTAAATGATTGCAGAACGCCCAGCCCGGCATGCCGCACCCGCGGGTTTAATAGATAGATTCTAGCTAGGTGTAGCAATTGTGTTAAAACATAGTGGCTGTGCTAAACTCCAAATTTAGTGCTATTAGTACCACAGTGTACACTAAACTTTAGTGTAGCGTGAAATTTCGCAAATTTGAACTATAGTGCAGACTGTACTTTCAGCGAACTCTAATACTAATTCCTGGTACCATAACTCTACATCCGGTACTCATTGCTTCATCTTTGTCTTTAAGTGTCACAGCACACTTACAACCACAATGATACTAGCAATACACATAATTAAAGAATCATACTAAAGATTCTCATATAAAAGAACAGCAGGAAAAAATATAATTCCCGCAGTTAAAAGAGCCTGTTCTCCCATTTTAAACTGCTTCTAAGGGAAGTCACTAGCGCACGATGAGCTGAAATGCTAGTTTTCTGCATACGCTGTATTTGCGTACGACTGGCGTCAGTTTCAAGCCTATTCGATATTTTCTTCACACTGCATTTTGGATGAATTCCATTTTGGATGGTCAGCAGTGTATTTAAATAAGAAAACTATTTTTCACCGTTATTAAATATTATGTTTTTGGTATGAAAGCTTTTAAAGTTGGCTTGTGCTTGCTAATAGATTGACAACTTTTGGTGCCATATTTATAATTTTCTTTTGCGCTTTTATGATGGATAGCATTCTGATTTTTAAGGTTCAATATTTTATATTTCAATTATTATTTTTAATATTTATTTATAAATGTAGAGATATACGAATATAATTGATATGCACTCAACAATTGTTCCAGAATCCACTGCTTAACATAAAATATTGTGCGGCTTTGAAGCCTGATGCATCTTCATTTAATCCTTCTATACGCAGAAGTTAGCTGCCACTATTTTGTATCGTAAAATCTTAAATAACAAATTTCATTCTCCCCTTCCTTTTGTCTAATAAAATTAGGTTTTCAAAGAATAATTAAGAAATTTAACAGAAGTGTTAATTTCGATGGTTAGAATGCAATAGAATGGCGAGCCGTGGTTTTCACCGAAGAGGATTATGTATGAATTAAAATTATAATTCTATCTAAGATTACCAGTGAGGTAGTCGCCTTAGAAAGCATAATTCAGCGCTAGTGTTTATTTATATTTTTAGAGATACTAGTCATTTTTAAAAGTGAACATCTTAGGGAGGATACTATACTATAGGATTTATTGCATTTTGAGTACGAAGACAAATGAATACAGTGAATGTGCTCTGACGAAATTATGAAAATCGGATTTAAGAAGGAAAATCAAAATGATTATGCCATAAAAGATAAACAATTTTTAATCTGATGGAAGTTATAAAATTTAAATAATTAAAATATTTTTATCTCAAAAAGGACACAAAACCAGCCAAACAGATTACTTCTCATTTGCACATTATTTTGAAATTATACATTTCACTTTAGAATGAAAGCTATAAGATTTCCTGTTTGTACTAATGAAATGTTGTACCGACAGCTAATTAGTGAGTACATTATCATAAAGCAGCTTCAAAAGTTGCTTGCACATCCTCCGTAATGATCTGTTCCATGGGAACTAAGTTTTTATACCACTTCTCTCTCCGTAATATGCACTTAAAATTACTGCGTCAACATATTTTGTTTCGAACTCTTTCACATTAAAAGTTAAATTAATTTCTCTGAAAATATTCATGAAAACATTAAAATTTCTTACGATATACCACAGGGCTTAACTTCTAAAATTAGAAGTGCCGCAGCCCTATGGAAAATCATCAGGAAAGAGGAACAAGAATAAATAAGTAAAATGGTAAAGCGATTGATAATTAAACAATTGAATAGTTAATGATTATAATAATTAAATAAACAATGATTAGAATAATTATATAATTAATGTTATAATTAAAATTATAATGTTATAATTAAAATTTAAATTTAACAAAATGTAAAGAGACAAATAAAAAATGTAATAAGTTATTAAATAAATGGTAAACAGTTAAATAATAAAATAAAGGACTGGACCTTGACGTTTTGGGGGCTCCGGCTGAAGTTACAATTTCACGGAAAACTAAGAAAATAGCTCTACCAGTCCCCAGTTGAATTTAATTTCTGAATATAATGTACTACTTCAATTGATGATAGAAATAAAGACCATTCTTTTTCCAAAAGATACCAATGAAAAATGTTAAAATGGTTAAAGCATCACTAATGAGACTAAAAGGAATGCCATAAACAGTAACAGAGTATAGAGAAAATTTTAACTGAGGATGTATACGCCCGAAAGTAAAGAAAGAAGAGACTAACATTTTCTGACCATGATTATCTTCTGTCAATATAATTCTAGCTGTCAAGCAAAAAAAAAAAAAAAAAAAAAAAAAAAAAAAAAAAAGTTGGGGAACAACAAATTTTATCCGAATCCGAGGGTTAGCTAAGGAAAAAGTAAAAAAAAAAGTGACAATTTCCGTTCCCCGTCTTCGGTTACATCGTTCCAAAAAGTCTGCAGATGTTCTTTTCCGCAGGAAGACACTAGCGTTGAAATGAAAAATTTACGTGCTATCATAAAACCATTGTACTTTATGGAGAATAACCTTAGACATGTGGGTGGGAGTTTTTCTTCCCTTAAAACTCTCCACCTCAATCCAGGGGTTTGTTTTCCAAGGAAAGGGGGGAGGCATGCATTTAGGAGCGAGGATCAATTTTAAATATAATTTTGTTATTAAAAATAAAACTTTCGAGATCTACATTTCTGCAGAAATTGTTGCTCCGTTACATTAAGAACTGCCAGAGCCTTCTTATTTAGGGCTCCGGTGCGCTCCCGTTAAAAAATTATGATTTAACCAAAAAATTAAGAAGAACCGGAGCCGAGCTCCGGAGCAATTTAAGCTCTAACTTACCTCCACGAAAAGTCTAAAACAGTTATGGAAACAAGTGAAAAGCAGCTAGTTGTTTCTCGCATAAAGCCGACGAAGCTGAGTTCCCCCATTCGCCCGAAAACCCGACTACACTCGAATGGCGCGTGGAATTTAAAGAGGTGATGTTCTTTTTATACTTTCGAAAGTTGTGTAAATATGCTTGTAAGTGTTAATGTTAAAAATATACCTGTAAGTGTTATTGTGTCAAATGTTAGGGTTCTACCTAGTCATTATAGTCCATTGACGGCACGCCACTGTCATAGAGTGTTTAAATTTAGCCTCTTCAATGTTTCTGCTTCATCTCAAAGTATTAAAAGAATTTTATATATAGTGCGCAATAATTAAGTAATTTCTTTATTTGTAGTTATTAGATAAAAGTTAATTAAAATTTCATTAAATAACTTAAGGCCAGGGAGAATAAAAAGAAACACAGTACAATTTTTTATTAATATACAATAAATTAATCACCGAAAAAAATTAAAAATTATAGTAAAGCAAAATATTATACCAATGAAAAAAATTACTCATAAAAAGTTAGTGATTTCGTTATTGTTGTAAACTTGATGGGTATATGTAATAATTGTAGTGTTACGTGTTTTAATTGTAGCTTAATTCACAAATATTCCCAAGTGAGGATATATTCTAAAAAGTTATTTAACTTATTTAATTTAAAAAATTTCACATTAATTAATCTGTATCAATATAATAATCTGTATTATTAATCTGTATCAACATCATAACCGCCTTGTTGATATGGTTATGGGGAAGCAGGTTGCCATAGCTTGCGTTCGAATATCGGTTTGAAGACGTATAGTGTCTCTGCGACATGGGGTTACTTAAAATACCAAAAGTTGTTTAGATAGGTTGGTCGAAAGGAAAAATAGATGGGAAATCCTCGGATCCGTCCCTAAAGGTATTCTACTTTAAAACTAGGACGAAGCAAAGCAGTTTTATACTGTCTTCTATAATGTGTCCAAGACTATGGCAAACGACAGGTTCCATCTTCTTTTCTCAGCCATGCCCACCAGCGGCCGAGCGGTAAAGTCGCTGAACACTGGTAGTTCGGTCCGAGGTTCGAATCCCGCGAACGGGCTGGCTGCATGGGTGTTTTCGTGGTTTCCCCATGTGTAACGTGTATACGAGCCAGTTTCCCTTAGAAAGTCCTCCACGAAAGGCATCCCTCCCCTTTGGCAGATAGCCCTAGTGTGCTTTGCCGTAATTAAATACACCACCACCTTTTCTCAGCCATGACACAACTTGTAGACTTGATCTGATGTTACTGCCAGACAAGTTAGATTAATCTCAACACACATTACAGGATACAGAGTACATTTTGAAAATAATTTATATTAGAGAAAAAGTAATTAGTTATTTCAAAAAGACTTTTTAGGTCGCTTCTGATTTCTTTTATTTACTTATTTATTTTTCGATAAAGAGACTGCAGGGAAAATATTAAGACAAATTACAATTTAAAAATATAATTTTCTCGGTAATTAGAAGTGACATTCTAGAGGTTAGATTTATTATGCACATTATAAATATATTAAATTAGAAAAAACAGAGAACTAGATTTGTGGGGGGGATTCTCAAATGGGAATGTGCAGGAAGAAAATACATAGCTGGTAAGCGATAAAACTGCTGAACGTTGGTAATTCAACTAGGACTCGAATCCAAGTGCAAGGGTTGGCAGCGGGAGAGGTTTCGCGGTTTTCCCGTCTATAAGTAGATAAACGAGACTCTTTTAAAAAGCTCTCCACGAAGGCATCCTCTTCATCCTTTGCTAAATTCATATTCCTATTATCCCTTCATATTCTTTGCCATATTCTAAATAAACTAAATTTCCTCATAATAGTTATGCTTTCTTACGAAGTAGATGGTACTCGTATAAAAATACAGATGAAATGTTAATAAAATTCTAACTAAATTTTATACACATCCATTTGAGTAGTAAAAAAATCGTATGGGATACATGAACTTTTCTTTCCTAATCAATAATTAGCCAGATATATTAGGAATAACAGCTTGGTTTGTCTCAAGTCATTCATTTTGACTTGGTGATAGACACTTATAAAACAAAACAAAAAAATCAGTTTTTTTTTTTTTTTTTTTTTTCTTTTTTTACTTTACTTTAGCGTTAAGTTTTGTGATTTTGCATATTTCTAAGCTAAAAGATCTGGTATAAATCTTAATTTTCCTTTTTCGTACACTGAAACTGAAATATACGTAGTGTTTGTTATAAATGTGTAAGGTGTATACACTATTAAATTTTTTCGAGGACAGGGAATATGATAAATTCACTGCGCTTACACCGAGATTCAACTACTGAACATCTATTTGCTAGCTGGGCATACAAACCAATTTCTTCATGAGAGTACGCATTCCAGAATGCCAGAACTCCTTACATTCTCCTCCGATTAGAAGACTACTAGAGAACATTGATGTTTTGATTATACTTTTACCACATATTAATTTGGCAGCCATAGAAGAGATGTATTAGATTTTCTGTGCAAGAAATGTTGATAAATTAACTATACTTTCGCTGGGATTCGAACTCCGATTTCCCACTTATTAGCTGAATGTGCTAACAACTTACACCACGGATGCATGAGAAAATGCAATAATTCCTCCCACTGTTAGTTAAATCTAGGTTTTCAGAAAAGCACTCACTGCCTTATTAGTTCAATCCTAACATTAAATTTTGAAATTTTGCATAAATCTAAGTGAAATATATTCTGATCTATTTGCTTAATTTAAATTTTCTTTACACTAAAATTAAAGTACGTACAATCTTCGTAAGCGCTTGAACTAATTTAGGTTAGGTTATTGGAAAAGCAGAGAGCTAATTGCTTTAGGAGGGATGTCGCCCCAGAGAACTCCTTAAGAGAAACTACATCGTATTCGTATTGCAAATGCAGATCATTAAGAAAAAAAAAAAAAAAAAAAAAAACCTGCAACTACTCGTAAAAGGCAGAATCTGGAAGGGGTGTTGTAACATTTGTTCGATGTGACATTTATAATATAGCACATCCAATAGTTTTATTAAATACTTTTTGAAATTTGTGAATAACAGAGTACTTTAAAAGAACTTTATTTTATATAACTGCTTACAAATAATAACAGTCGATAACAGAAGAAAAAAGTGTTCTCCATTTAAGAGTATATATTATTATTATTTATTTTATTAAATAAAGCACTACACGGAAGGGGAGGATGCCTTCATGAATGACTTTCTAAGGCAACTGGCTCTTTATTAACACGTTAACAAATGGGAAAAACCGCGAAAACGCCCATGCAGCCAGCTCGTTCGTGGGATTCGAACCTCGAACAGCGTTCAGGGACTTGACCGCTCGGACGCTAGTGGGACTAAGAGATTATGGGGCATGAAAATTCAGAACTGCAAAAATAAGTAAATTTAGACATAAAAATTTGAATCAGAGATATAAATCAAGAAGTTGTTTTAAGGAACACATGAAACACAGTTACTAGGAAAACAAACAAGTTTTGATCTGACACACCTTCAAAAAATTAAGTCTTTGAATAAAATCATTAATATAGCTTCCTAATGGTTTTAGAGATGGATAAGATGCAGCAGACCATAGTGTTGGTTGTCGACCAATAAGTAGATTTCCAGCTAAAGCCTCTAAATCAGCAGACATAACAACTAAACCTTTTATTGCCTTTTGTAATTGCAGCAAACTACTACGCATAACAGAATGAAGCCTGTAATATAATTATATTTTTTTATTATAATATTTTTGCAAAGAATAATAAAAACAACTATATAATTACATTCACTGATAAGTAGACTGATGATAATTATACTAATTAATAAGTACAGTAATTTATTTTTAATAAGCCGACATATATATTACTAAATGTTATAGCTTAAATCTGAAATAAAAAATATTGCGAAATATAATACAATAATCTCCCGATATCGGGTCAATATTGCGGACGACGTCCACAGTTAACTTGCAATTACAATTAACCCGAATGTAATAAAAATGGTCGCAATAACTTTAGGTAACGTGTATGTAATAATTATGCTTTTATAAGATGAAACTCGGTACCATTATGTAATAAAAGGCATCATATGTTACCGCAATAATCCTAAAGAACTTTTAGAATGATAGAAGTTAATGTTATGACTGTAATAACACTAAGAAACTTGAATGCAAGATACAATATGTGACCTAAGGGAAGAAAACATTATTCTTAGTACTTACCCAGACCGTGTAATGCCAGGACGTAAAAACATACTACACCTTCACTTGTCTGAATTTTTATGTCTCGTCACTAATGTACATTACTTTTTCGAAATTATCTACAGCACAGACACCTTAAAATGGAAGACAGTAATTGAATTTATTGAAAGAACAAAGAATGCAGTCTTCAAAACGCATTTGCCAGTAATACTGCTTGTTGCCCACAAATTCTTGCTTATCAAAACATAGAAAAAACATTTCTATTCGTACATACGCAACGCATAAGCTTTTTGGGACCCAAACTTCGTCACTTAGCATCTTTTCTTCGCCATATATATTGTATTATAAATGATTGTATGTATTTCGTTTATTCGCAGATATTATACTTTTTATGTTTATGTTGCTTGTATTGTACACTGCTCAAAAAAAAAAAAAAGGGGGGGGGGACAGTTCTATATCTCCCGTTCTACTGGGCCGATTGACAAAATTCAAATTGCGTTCTTCATGTCTCGAAAGCGCGACATAGAATATATATTAGATTTATATATAGCACTATTCTAACATAGGTATTTTGACACAAAATCGGACTTTTTCTGAAATAACATAACAATTTTTTTACATATTTCCATTCTAAGACTCAAATTACGCCTAAATATGAAATTTTGTAAAATTTGGAGCGAAATTTACAGAGAAATTCACAAATTTATGTTGGCACTTTTTTTTTCAGTTTTCGCCAACTTGGAGAACTTCGTAATATATGGCAACCTAGTTTCCTTTCCAGTAAGAGGAAGAAAAGTCACCATCGTTCATTTTTTTCAAAATAATATTCTTTATATTATATTTTTAATTATAACTGTTATTATTTTAAGTAATTTTTTTCTTTTTCGAATTTCATTCTAATTGTTTAAGTTGCATGTCTTTTTTTTTTTTTTTCGAATAACTGGTTTAAAAATTTCTATTTACCTATTCGAACTGCGTAAATAAAGGTGCAGCGTTTATTTTTTTTCAAATAGTTTTCTTTATATATATATTTTGTCATAATTATTATTTTAGGTAATTTTTAAATTTTTATACTTTTATTTTAATTGTTTGTGTTGCATTATCTCTTCAGATAATTGTTTTAAAATTTTCCATTTATTCCTTCGAACTGAGCATTTAAAATATATTTATTAATATAAATTTTTCAGAATTTGATTTTATTTATTTGAATTGCGTTTCTTTCGGAAGAATACTTTGTAACACAGACTACGATGCGTTTGAAAACTGCATATATTAAAAGAGAAAATACAGTAAAGCACAGTTAACACGCCTTTCAATGTTCCGTTCAGAAAAGATATATAAATAAGAGAAATGTATAACCGACATTTTAACTTAGGATGACTTGCATACACTACTTTAAACAGTTTTATCATTGTGCCCATTGCTTTACACAATTTTATCCTACATTTGGTTTCTTAAAATGTTATTCATATTTTAGTCAAATATTTTATTTTTGAAATCGCAAGAATCAACTATCATAAGATTAAAAGGTTTTTAATTAAAAAAAAATACTTTATTCTTGCTCTTTTTCTTTAGGCATTCTGCAAATATATTAAAAAGCATCCAACTTTTCGAAATATCTTGATATTTTTGACAATTATTTTAAATAAAGTTATCGCCTTCCATTTCAAAAAGGCCTACAAACGGCCGAGCGGTAAAGTCGCTGAACATTCCTAGTTCACTTCCGGTTCGAATCCCGATAAACGGGCTGGTTGCATGGGCATTTTCGTGGATTTTCTCATGTGTACCGTGTATGACAGCTGGTTTCTCTTAGAAAGTTCTGAACGAAGTATTTCGTTAGAGCCTTTATCAGTCTTTAGAGGCTAAACATTTTGAAGATATGAGATGAAAGGAAAGACTGGTTTCATCAAGAGGTTTTGGTTTATTTAATTATGACAAAGCACACTAGGGCTATCTGCCTAAAAAAAGAGATGCCTTCACGGAGGACTTTCTAAGGGAAACTGGCTCGAATACACGTTACACATGGGGAAAACCACGATAACGCCCATGCAGCCAGCCCGTTCGCGGGATTCGAACCTCGGACCGAAATACCAGTGTTCAGCGACTTTACCGCTCGGCCGCTGTTTCATCAGGAGGGAAAAAAAACGCCTTTAGGTGACATCCACATACAATACTGGATAAACTCCTGAATCTTCAAATAATTCGACTGAGAAAATCATAGGATTCTCCATTTATGATACGATATGATGTTCTATAACGTAATTTAAATTTATACAGCCATATAGTTTAAAACCAGTCGCTCTTCACTTTAATCTGCAATGATATCGTTTTTGTCTTTTCTGTTAACACAAGCTCAATTGATGGTATTTGCTAGTGTACACGTCCAAGTGTTTTCTTTTTGAACGCCTAAATGCTTTGAAGTATCCTGAAAGTATATTCAAAAGCGTCCAACTTTTTGAAACATCTTCGTATTTCTGACAGCCAAATTTCCCTGCAAATTTTTGCTTACTTTTCTCCCTAAATTTCTTCTTCCCTTCTACAGTTATTTTCAGTGCTCACACAAGAAAATTAAGATTTTTTCGATTGTTAGACTTACATAAATTTTGCATTCTTGTCAATTTTTTAAAATATCAATTACATGAATTGCGTTTCAGCTGAAGACAGCTTTTCATTTTCTAGTCATTTTAACTATAAACAAAGTATAGAGCAAAGTCCAAAAGATTAATATTTTAATTAAAAGTTTTTTGCTAAATGTCAAAGAAATAAAACAGTCCAGCAGTGTTTATTCTTCAACACCGAGTCACCCGATTCTTATATCGGCTGAAACAATCTAAATCATATTAAAGACCATGTTTTTTTATACAATCTATAACGCGAGAGAAAAATTAACTTCTTAAAACATTCTTTCTAACAGGATTCATATATATATATGTAAGATAAAAATGTATGAATCAGAATTATAATATAATTATAAATATTAATTCTTCCTCTCTATTCTAAAATCGTAATAACTTGTCTGCATTGCGTCATTCAAATTAATTATGCGATCTTACGTAACCGTTAATACCAGATGCCTCTTGACAACCAATCACCGAATTGTAAACCAAAACTTTTCTCTTCGCGTGCATCCATCTTTCATAAACTACGCACTTTAGCTTTTGCTCTACTTGCTAAGATGTAATTTCGCTGGCTTGCTTTCTATCTCAGCAATATCAAAAATGTAAATCCTCTGTGGAAAGGCACGACTAGAGTGCCAAGTGATTGTGGCCACAAATATCAATTGGAAATAAAAATGGAATTAAAACTGCCTCGACTGCCAAGTTCTTTAAATACTACGCAATCAAAATTCTTCTTCAATATGGGTCTAATCACGCATCTACAGTGTTCCGTCTTTTCTTTGTGCTCTTATTATGACATATATATATATATATTTCTTTTTTAAAGCTGTGACTTGAACCAAACTGTCAAACTTTTAAAGTTTAATTTACATGGTGGTTATAATTAAAGTTCCAATTTGAAATGGTCATAAAAGGAAAACTACCGGACCAAATGTTATCACACTTGGGAATCGTGTAAAGGAGGTTATGGAAATTTATTTTTCGAGGGGAAAAAAAAAAAAAAAAAAAAAGAGTTCAAAATCTCACCACAAGGGGGTAAATGACGCTGTATACAATATTATTAAATAAAATAAGAAATGAAAATATCTGTTTAAAATGTGTTTAATAGTTTTCGAAACGTGTTACAAAGCATTTTCAATGTAGCGTCCAGCATTTTCCGAAAGCAAGTAAAATCCTGTTACTGCATTCTCAACAGCAGCTCTTAGCATATCAGGAGGAATGTTACGGACATGTCAGTGTATCACATTTTTCATTTCTGCCAAATTTATTTAGATTATCCCCATAAATAGTGCTTTTGAGATAAACACATAGCCCAAAGTCACAGAGGTTGAGCTCTGGTGGGAAGAGGGAAGTGTTGGCCTATAAGACGTTCATTCGTGAAATGTTGCCTAAGGAACTATGCGACACACGTGAGGTGGGGCCCAGCCCTGCATAAAAATCGTAGTATCTAAAATGCCACGTTACAGCAGTTCATGTATCACGAAACACTTTAACAATGACTCTAAGTGAGCTGCAATCACAGTGGTCCAGCTGTCAACTGCTCTTCAGAGAAAAATGGTTCAGTTATAAATAGCCGTCATTCAACACTAAACGGTGTGGAATAACTGTTATACAATCGAATGCAGTAGGAGAATGCAATGGAACTAGATAGATAACATGAGGAAATTCTTTGGCTCAAATCGATTAAAAGCGTTTTGAATCAGTATCTTCATGTTTTAGGGCCGAATTCAGGCTTCAAAAATTACAAATTAGCCATCTGTAAGAAAACGATTTCCAGACTGTACGCCCTTGTGCGAGTGATTTGCGATCTCACATTTTCTAATCGCTAATTCGTGGTTTTCACGGACGAATTTCTCACTTACACGGGTGGCGCACTCGACGTTTATCGAATTTAACG